GGGGGGCTGGGGGGTCACGGGAGGCTGGGGGGTCGTGGCAGGCTGGAGGGTCCTGGGGACACCGTGGGGACACCGTGGGGACACGCTGGGACACAGACCGGGGTGGGGCAGGTCGGACCCCAGGGGCCCGGGGGGTGTGGCAGGGCTTGGGGACACTTTGGGACACTGGGGACACTCTGGGACAGTGACTGTGGGGCCGTGGGGACACTTTGGGACACTGTGGGACAGTGACTCTGGGGCCGTGGGGACTCCTGGTCATGGGGACAATGGCGTGGGGGGCCTGTCCCTCACTGTGTCCCCATGTCCCCTTGGCCACCTGTCCCCAGGTGTCCAATACCCGTGTCCCCGTGTCCTGTCCCCCATGTCCTCCCTGTCCCCGTGTCCCCGTGTCCCCCCATGTCCATGTCCCCGTGTCCCCGTGTCCCCGAGCTCCCCAGCTGTGCTGTCACCCTGCTGCCCGCGGTGTCACCGGAGCCGGGGACACGCTCGGGGCCACGCCTGGGGGCGGGCAGAGGCTCCGGCGGTGGCACCGTGCGGTGACAGGGTCGGGTGGCACCGAGGTGACAGGGTCGGTGGCACTGAGTTGACACGGTTTTGTCACCGTGCGGTGACAGGCTTGGGTGGCACCGAGGTGACAGCCACAGCCCCACAAGCCTCGGGCCCCCCCTTCCCCCGTTCCCGTCCCGGTTCCTCCTCGGCCCATCCCCGTTCCCATCCCGTTTCCCTCCCCGGTTCCTCCCTGGTCCATCCCTGCTCCCCCCGGTTCTTCCCCCGTTCCCATCCCCGTTTCTCTCCCCGGCTATCCCGTTCCCATCCCCGTTTCTCTCCCCGGTTCCTCCGCCGTTCCCTTCCCCGTCCCTTTCCCTCCCCGCTCCCTCCCGATTCCCCTCCCGTTCCCGCCCCCGCTCCCTCCTCTGGTCCGCTTCCATCCCTCGGTGTGTCCCCGGTCCATTCTCGGTCCCTCCCGGTCCCTCCCGGTCCAGCCCTCTCCCGCTCCGTCTCTCAGTCCCTCCCCGGTCCATTCTCGGTCCCTCCCGGTCCCTCCCGGTCCAGCCCTCTCCCGCTCCGTCTCTCAGTCCCTCCCCGGTCCATTCTCGGTCCCTCCCGGTCCATCCCCGGTCCAGCCCTCTCCCCCTCCATCCCCCGGTCCCCCCCCGGTCCCTCCCCGCTCCATCCCCACCCATTCCCCGCTCTGTGCCCGGTCCTTTCGCCGTCTCTCTCCGGTCCCTTCCCCGTTCCATCCTCATCCATTCCCCGCTCCACCCCCGGTCCCCCCTTCTCCCCATCCATCCCCAGTCTCTCCACGGTCCCTCTCCATCCCTCTCCCCGGTCCCTCCCCGGTCTCTCTGCTCTCCATCCCCGGTCCCTCCCCGCTCCCTTCCCCGTCTATCCCTGGTGCCTCCCCGGTCTACCCCCATCCATTCCCCGCTCCACCCCCGGTCCGTCCCCGCCCCATTCCCGGTCTTTCCCCGGTCTATCCCAAGTCCCTCCCCCGCTCCATCCCTCTCCCCATCCCTCCCCGGTCCCTCTCCGCTCCCTCCCCGGTCCATCCCCAATCCTCCCCCGGTCCATTCCTCTCCCCGCCCCATTCCCGGTCTCTCCCCGCCCCATTCCCGGTCCCTCCCCGGTCTCTCCCCGGTCCCTCCCCCGTCTCTCCCCGGTCCCTCCCCGGTCCACAGGGGGTGAGGACAGGTGAGGGGGACAGGTGACAGGGGTGAGGACAGGTGAGGGGACAGGGGATGAAGACAGATGATGGGACAGGCGACAGGGACAGGTGAGGGGACAGGGGATGAGGACAGGTGACAGGCACAAGTGACAGGCCCAGGTGGGGGGACAGGTGACAGGGACAGGTGAGGGGACAGGGGATGAGGACAGGTGACAGACAGAGGTGACAGGGCCAGGTGAGGGGACAGGGGATGAGGACAGGTGACAGGCAGAGGTGACAGGGCCAGGTGGGGGGACGGGGGATGAGGACAGGTGACAGACGCAGGTGACAGGGCCGGGGTCGGGTTTGGGGGTGCGCACAGCAGGGTGGGCAGGGCGGTGGCAGCCGTGGCACGCGGGGGGCGCGGGGGGCTGCCCTGCCCGCGGCTCGCCCCGCGCCCCGCGGCGCCGCGGCCGGGGGGCTGATGGGCACCTCCCCGTCCCCCCCCAACACCGCCAGGGCTGAAAGGGGGAGCCCCCACCCCCGGGCCGGGGGGCTCCAACGGGCCCACCTTCACCTACACGTTCCGCGGCGACCCGCACGCCATGTTCGCCGAGTTCTTCGACGGGCGCAACCCCTTCGACACCTTCTTCGTGCAGCGCAACGGCGACGATGAGGACGGCGACGAGGCCTTCAACACCTTCCACGTGGGGGGCTTCGGCAGCGTCAGCTTCCCGCGGGGCCGGGGGGGCGACGGCCGCAAGCAGGACCCCCCCGTGCTGTACGACCTGCGCGTGTCGCTGGAGGAGATCTACAGCGGCTGCACCAAGAAGATGAAGATCTCCCACAAGCGCCTGGGCCCCGACGGCAAGACGGTGAGGAACGAGGACAAGATCCTGACCATCGAGGTGAAGCGGGGCTGGAAGGAGGGCACCAAGATCACCTTCCCCAAGGAGGGCGACCAGACCCCCAACAACATCCCGGCCGACGTGGTGTTCGTGCTCAAGGACAAGCCGCACGACGTGTTCCGCCGCGACGGCTCCGACATCGTCTACCCGGCCAGGATCAGCCTGCGCCAGGTCGGGGGGACGCGGGGCTGGGTGGGCTTGGGGGGACATCAAGGGCTGGGTGCAGAGGTGGCTGTGGTGGCCCTGGTGGCTGTGGTGGCCCTGGTGGCCGTGGTGGCCCTGGTGGCCCAGGCGAGCCTCGGTGGGGACAGCGGGGCCGTTGGTCTGGCTGGGGACACCGGGGTGGGCTGGTCCCGGTGGGGACAGCGGGGGGATGTCACAGGTGGGCCAGCTTGGGTGGGGGACACAGTGGGGGGGGTCACTCTGGGGGGTGGCAGGACACGATGGATGGCCGGGGGTCACTCTGGGGTCACTCCAGGGGTCACTCAGGGGTCACTGTGGGGTCACTGTGGGGTCACTCTGGGTGGTGGGGCCATGCTGGGGGTGTCCCTTGGCCCACCTGTCCACCCTGTCCCCTGTCGGTGACCTGTCCCCCCCATGTCCCTTGTCCCTGACATGTCCCGATGTCCCCATGTCCCCTCTGTGTCCCCATGTCCCCAGGCGCTGTGTGGCTGCACGGTGACCGTCCCCACGCTGGACGGCCGCTCCCTGCCCATGGTGTTCCAGGACGTGGGACATCCCCATGTCCATCATGTCCCCCGTGTCCCCATGTCCCTGACATGTCCCCATGTCCCCTGCTGTCCCCAGGCGCTGTGTGGCTGCACGGTGACTGTCCCCACGCTGGACGGCCGCTCGCTGCCCATGGTGTTCCAGGACGTGGGACACCCCCATGTCCCCATGTCCCCTGTCACTGACCTGTCCCCGTGTCCCCTGTGTCACCAGTGTAGAAGTGGTGGCAGTGGTGACAGTGGTGGCAGTGTTGGCTGTGGGGGCAGTGTGGCAGAGGTGGCCCTGGTGGCCCAGGTCAGCCTTGGTGGGGACAGCGGGGCCGATGGTCTGGCTGGGGACACCGGGGTGGGCTGGTCCTGCTGGGGACACCGGGGGGATGTCACAGGTGGGCCAGCTTGGGTGGGGGACACAGTGGGGGGGGTCACTCTGGGGGGTAGCAGGACACGATGGATGGCCGGGGGTCACTCCGGGGTCACTCGGGGTCACTCAGGGGTCACTGTGGGGTCACTCCGCCCCGTGTCACTGACATGTCCCGATGTCCCCATGTCCCCAGGCTCTGTGTGGCTGCACGGTGACTGTCCCCACGCTGGACGGCCGCTCCCTGCCCATGGTGTTCCAGGACGTGGGACACCCCCATGTCCCCATGTCCCTGACATGTCCCGATGTCCCCTGTATCCCCATGTCCCTGATGTCCCCTCTGTGTCCCCTGCTGTCCCCAGGCGCTGTGTGGCTGCACGGTGACGGTCCCCACGCTGGACGGCCGCTCGCTGCCCATGGTGTTCCAGGACGTGGGACACCCGTGTGTCCCCAATGTCCCCTGTGTCCCCATGTCCCTCACCTGTCCCCATGTCCCCGTGTCACTGACATGTCCCGATGTCCCCATGTCCCCAGGCTCTGTGTGGCTGCACGGTGACTGTCCCCACGCTGGACGGCCGCTCCCTGCCCATGGTGTTCCAGGACGTGGGACACCCCCATGTCCCCATGTCCCTGACATGTCCCGATGTCCCCTGTATCCCCATGTCCCTGATGTCCCCTCTGTGTCCCCTGCTGTCCCCAGGCGCTGTGTGGCTGCACGGTGACTGTCCCCACGCTGGACGGCCGCTCGCTGCCCATGGTGTTCCAGGACGTGGGACACCCCCATGTCCATCATGTCCCCTGTGTCCCCATGTCACTCACCTGTCCCCATGTCCCCCGTGTCCCCTGCTGTCCCCTGTGTCACCAGTGTCCCCTGCTGTCCCCAGGCGCTGTGTGGCTGCACGGTGACCGTCCCCACGCTGGACGGCCGCTCGCTGCCCATGGTGTTCCAGGACGTGCTCAAGCCGGGGGTGAAGCGCCGCGTGCCCGGGGAGGGGCTGCCGCTGCCCCGCTGCCCCGAGCAGCGCGGGGACCTCGTCATCGAGTTCGAGGTCAAGTTCCCCGACAGGATCGCGCCGGCCTCCAAGCCCCTCCTGGAGCAGATCCTGCCCCCCTAGGGCCCCCCAAACCCCGCGGGGGGCCGCGGACTCGGGGGGACCCCCCCGGAACAGCCCCGGCTCGGGGGGGCTCCTCCTCGGGGGGTTTTGGGGTGTCCCTGCCTGTCCCGGGGGTTTTGGGGTGTCCCTGCCTGTCCCGGGGGGGTTTTGGTGTCACCCTGCGTCCCGGGGGTTTTGGGGTGTCCCTGCCCCCAATCTCACAGCTCAGAGTGGGGTTCCCCGCGCTGTCCCGGGGGATTTTGAGGTGTCCTTGACTCCCCCCATTTTGGGGGTCCCGGGGGGTTTTGGGGTCACCCCGCTGTCCCGGGGGATTTTGAGGTGTCCTTGACTCCCCCCATTTTGGGGGTCCCGGGGGGTTTTGGGGTCACCCCGCCGTCCCGGGGCTTTTGGGGTGTCCCTGTTCCTGATCTCGGAGGGGTTTTGGGGTCACCTCACTATCTCAGGGGATTTTGGGGTGTCCCTGTCCCTGATCTCAGAGGGGTTTTGGGGTGACCCCGCTGTCTCAGGGGGTTTTGGGGTCACCCACCTGTCTCAGGGGGTTTTGGGGTGTCCCTGTCCCCAGTCTCGGAGCTCAGAGGGGTTTTGGGGTCACCTCGCTCTCCCGGGGGGTTTTGGGGTCACCCTGCCTGTCCCGGGGGGTTTTGGGGTCACCCCGCTGTCTCAGGGGGTTTTGGGGTCACCCCGCTGTCCCAGGGGGGTTTTGGGGTCACCCCGCTCTCCTGGGGGGTTTTGGGGTCACCCCCCTATCTCAGGGGGTTTTGGGGTCTCCTTTGTGCCCTTTTGGGGGGTCCCGAGGCGGCTTTCAGGGTCTTGGGGTGTCCTTGTCCCCCCCCCACCCTGCTCTGGGTGTCCTCGACCCCCCATTTTGGGGGTCTCCAGGTGTCCTTGTCCCCCCATTCTGGGGGTCTTGGGGGTCCCCAGGTGCCCCCCTCCCCC